GGCAACAGAGGGGCTACCCAATCCCTTATGCCAGGATAGGGCGGAGCGGACGTCCCATAGCTGCAAATGAGAAGCAAAAAAACCCTATAATGAATGTAGATGAAGAGGGAGTAAAATGAGTGGCGACACTTACAAGTCTCATTCCACCGCTCCGGGAACCTGGCGGAGTCAAAAACAATGTGTTCAGTTTTGACAAAGAAATACTTATGCCAAAACTTGTGACTTGCCCGGTCGTCAGTCCCAACCACCAGCCCTTTTGTTCCACGGTGCCTCAAATGCACCATAGTACCCCTGTGGAAGCTGGGTGAGAACAGGTGCAAGAGGTGGTGAACAGTAACCTCGCATTCTGCCAACTCCGCATACTTTGTCACATCAGGAGTATCTTGAGCGTATATGGCAAAAGTTGTGTCGGGCAAACTTGGTAGAATCGACAGAACTCTTCCGCTAATAGGAGGAAGGGGAAAGAATAACCAATCACGAAACGGTATTTGTAGAAAGCGCAGTATCCAGGTCTGTGGACCTCTACGAAATCCCTTCCCGCTGGAACTATGTCAACATAAGCGGGGATACCATACTTTGCACGAAGAGCGTCAATGTGAACCTGTTCTATTTCAGAGAGTACGGGGGTAGGAGTACAAGGAGGATCTTTGAGGAAGTCGCTCCGAGACATGGGGTGTCTTGGCAGTAACTCCTCCGCCGTAGGAAGACTATCCCCTTCTTCTACCACCATATCCTCACCGCTTGAGGAGGGGCGCCATGGAAAACGGGGGTGGCCTCAGAAACCCCTTCATGAGATCGATGTGATCTTGGCATGTTTTCGATGAAAGAGGTATTGACGCAGCAAAAAAGAAGAAATTGTGAATGAAGAATGGAAAAAGAAGAAGCAGAAGGCTGATAGGACAAACTCGTAGGAATAAGGAGGGGTAATCAGAAATGAAATGGCCAAGAATTTTTGAAAAAACAAACCCTCCACCTATTTATAGGATTGGGTGGCGCCAGAATCGAAGCGGTAGGTCGCAGAATGGCACCAAAATCGAAGCGACAAGCCATCAATCCCTGTCTCGAAAACACGCATAATGATGACGCACGTGAAGATGACATCATTTCCTGGTAAAGTGCATTAACTGGTGTCTTGTTAAGCACACTGACCATCCACCATTGGCCAGGCCGTAATGCCTCGTAGGGTCAAATTTCTCCGTAAGAACGCATGGTGTCCGCTCATCGAGGACGCACCAAGTTGCAACCTCGACAAGCGGAGGGACTAACTGTATGGGTCCAAATTTGAACAACCCCGACCGTTGATGAGTACGACGAACGACGAGATCCTCGCAGCTCAATATCTTGCAGAGGACGACCTTAAGGTGAATAAGAAATTGTACGACTCTTGCAGTAGTGCAGGCCCTTTAGGGGACATTAAGAATATTCTTTCGAATATTCCCTGTAACTTGTCTTTTAGAGCCTAGAAGGGTTTTTGTTCCTTATATATAGAGCGTAAAACAACCTTGTAAGGGCGCTGGGCACTTTTCCTAACCCATAACACTTGCTATAAACTTGCTTACAAAAAACGACTGAGAGGATTATCGTTTAAAAGGTTTTTGGTCTTGATAAAGAATTCTCATCACCCATATTCTCCTTATCTATCTTTTGTTCTAGAGATTATTATACTTAGCTAAGATTTACCCCTTCATTTTCTTTGATTGATTTATTCAAAAAGGTTCCGATATCATTTGAGTCAAACAAACAAAACATTGATGAGTTACGTTATGGAATTATATGACATCCAAGAGGAAAAATTTTCCTGTTTTATATAAAGCCTATTCTCACCTAAGTAAAAATTGGGTGGTCAGATTGGGGTCTCAGTATGGAGTGGACTTTGTTGTGTATCGTCATCATCCAGCTTTGATTTATTCCGAATATGTTGTGCTTGTTTTATCGGCACAAAATGGTAATGCCAATGGTCGTTTAAGGGTTTGGTCCGACTTCCAGTGCACTCTTCGACTATATGGAAGTGTAGCGAAAACGTTGCTTGTTCTTAATATTGTCTGTTAGTCTCTAAAGTTACTTTAAATTTATAACAGATACTTCAAATGGCCGGGCTCAGTATATTCAAAATTTGACTATCAGAATTTGCAGGTAATATATATAATGTAAGTTTATTTTTCTTTTTTTGGATTTTAATTCACTTTCTTTTAGATTTTTTTCCATAAACTTTCTGTACTAGCTTGATGCCTTTATGTGTTCTTATCTATGAAGATTTGTGTGTGACTGGTAATTTCGATTTTGAGGATATATAGAGTCACTTCTCAATGAGTATCAGTTCAAGGACTCCTTATATATCACTAAGACAAGGAATGTCTTTCTTGTGAAAAGTATTACTACAATAAGATGTGAAAACTAGAGGTAACTATATATTTGTGCTACAATTGCTTGAAAATTAACACGAACTAAATATCAATTTGGAATAAAAGTAGAACGTTATTACAACTCGAAGCCTCAAATATAAACTCGTGTACTAGTTCAAATGTCATAAAACTTGCATAAAATTCTGAGTACGACATTGCTTGTTGTAGTGGAAGAAACTCTTGATCACTAAAATGTTTATACAGCAATTTGCAGTGCTTTTAGTCCAATGTGTTGCAGCCCATGTAATAAATTTATATTCAGATAGTAATTTGCTTTCGAGATATAGGCTTACTTCTAGATTGGTGATGCAATGTGGTGAGTATATTTTTAGCATTAAGTCATAAATCAAAATTAATAAATGGATTGGTTTCAAATTAAACCTGATAAAACAAAAATTGGTAACTACACATTTTATTTACCAAGTAAAATTTACAAAACATTCTATTCTTTAGTTTGATCTTGGACATCATCCCCAGATTCAAACTATACCTCGCAATGCTATGTCTTCTAACTACTATTCTAATTACATGACATTAGGGTAGTAATTAAGAATTAATAATCTCTTCTTCAACCTTTGCATCATGCTGCCTCGACCATGAATTTGAACTAGTTGTCGAACAATTGCTTCAATGCTCCTCTGTTTCTCTTGGAATATCCTTGAGTTCCTCTCTTACCATATGCAATAGACTGCGCCAGCTAGGGTCATTCTGTATACTTATGTTGTAGAGCTCCTTCCTTTGTAAAAAATTTAAAAAGATAAAGGCGCTAGTAGTGCTAAAGCATAACTTTTTGGAAAACCATCAGAGATCATTGTTAATGCCACAAACCAAAAAAAAAAGGCCTTAGCCTCCACGAGAATTGTTCAATTATCCACATTAAATTATAAAGGATGATGTTCAATTCTAGTAGTAGTATTTTAATATTTATTTTTGGTTTCTAAAAGCCTTATCCTTGCTTATATAATTGTATTAATGTCACTGTCATTTCATATAGCTTCTTTCTTTCTATTTAACCATCTAAAGGAAGCCTCCTGACCTAATTAATTCATATTATTAGGTCGAGGTCGTGCTCAAGATTGAAGAAACTAACGGGCGAGCTGAGTAATCGGAGCCGAGGTCGGGAACTCAGGCCAGTAATAACGGCTAGATTAGTATTAAGATACTTTAGGGGAATATTCTATCGAATATTCTCTGCACCTGTACTTTGGGTTAGGCAAAGGGTACGTCCCATATAAATAGAAAGGTAGAGAGAAGAAAAAGAGGCATGTAATATTCTATAGGATAAGAACTCTCTTGAAAAGTTCACTCTCAAGTATAATACAAACACCACCTTTTACAAGAGATTCGATTTGTTATTTATTCCATAGTTCACGCATCAGATCCGAGAAATCTCCATATATTCTCATATTCATTTGTCTTACATCATTGTCAGAAAGAGGAATCATCCACCTCATTCAATATTGGGTGAATCATTCTCTCTATTTACATTTATTGCCATTTAACATATTTATTGCTTACCATTATTCCCCACTCGTTCATAACAGCATCATTTAATACATATTGAAATTAAATCGGTCTAAACACAATCCTATGTTATTTGTACAAACATGTTTCAGATCTAGAATGTATTATGTTTAGCTAGGATTTACCCACTATCTTCTTATTTAATTAATTTAACAAAATATTTCATACTTTTTGGTCAAACAATTTGGCACCGTCTGTGGGGAATTTTCTAGTTAAAATTTTAGTTTCTTCTAGATCTAAAAAAAACTTTGCAAAAACCCTATACTTCCTTGTGTGCACAAATCTAACATAGTAGTCAACGGAGAGGAAAAGAGAAAGGCGATAGCCGACCTCACCACCAACCTCCTCCATACCATCAACGAAGTGGATGAAACTGAGGGCGAAGATATAACACCAAACACCTCTCCCAGGCGAAACAGCTCGCCCCCACCTCACGGTAGCATCACGACCTCGCACGGTAAAGGGGCCTCTACATCCACAACAGAAGAGGCACCACCGGTAGTGAAAAAGCTACTCGAGGTATGGTTGACAAACACGCTAACCGTCTTCCTCGACAAACCCTCTCAGAGCCCGAACAAAGAAGAGGCAAGGGTCGGCATCGCATCAGCAGCTGACGAGCAGCATGCCCCCCTGCAACAGGTATTACTCACAATGTTAGTGATGCAGGTAATGACACCCTCACAGCCATTTTGAGGAAGGTGGAGGAGATGGAGAACAAGAACAAAATGCTCCACAATCAAATGAAGGAGCACCAAGAAAGGGTAGACAAAATACTGGGTGCCCCAAAACTCCTACCAAAGACGCCGGTCAGTTCGTTGAGAAGCCATATAGCAACGAGGCTGCACCACACGCCATACCTAAGACCTTCAAAATTCCGCCGTACATAAAAATATATGACGGCATGACGGACCTTGACGATCATGTGACCCACTATGTCACCGCACTGAAAGGCAATGACCTCGCCAAAGAACAAGTGTCATCCATATTGCTGAAAAAGTTTGGCGAAACCCTAACCGGGGAGCGCTAACTTGGTACTCGCAGTTACCTGTGCGTTCCATAGAAACGTTTGAGAAGATGGCAGACAAGATCGTTACCGCCCATGCCGGGGCCAAGAAAGCAGAGGCGAGGGTGAACAACATATTCGCTATTAAGAAATCGCCTGGCGAGGGACTCAGAGACTTACTTGCCCGATTCAACCGTGTAAGAATGACTCTTCCAAATGTCTCGGAGGGGATGGCGGTAGCCAATTTCCAAAACGGGCTAAACAGGAGTGGTTTGAGGGCGACCAGAAAATTACTTAGCCAACTCATGAAATACCCTCCAACCTCTTGGGATGAGATACGCAACGCCTATTGTGCCGAGGTAAGAGCTGACGAGGATGACCTCAATGGACCTACTCAATGGTTGACCTCGGTCCAAATGGAGTCCAAGAAGGACCGGAGAAGTGACAACAGGAGAGATCTAGTGGGACCCCAGCCTAATCGGGAAAGACATCAGCCCTATGTCAGAGACGCCCTCATACCGTCTCCACGCCACGACGAAGGCCCATCTAGGCCACGAACGAGAACCCACCGAAGTGAGAGAGGTATTGCCCCTTTATTATCTGCTCACAATTTCTGCGTTTCCCCCTTAGAAATAGTCTATGCACTCGAGAAGCTCGGCCCAAAAGTGAAGTGGCCGCAGAAGATGAGATCCGACCCGAGCACCAAAAAGTCGAATGCACTCTACGAATTTCACCAGGAACGGGGTCACAAAACCGAGGACTGTATCGCCCTAAGACAAGAGGTTGTGAACATGCTTCACCAAGGGCACTTAAAAGAGCTGATGAGCGACCCAGGGAGAGACAACTTTGCATAAGGACGTGAACAACACCAGGGACCGCCCAAACCACCTTCCCAGCTCGAACCATTCAAATGATCATCGGAGGAGGCGACGACGCATCAATCAACAGCATGTAGTTCACTACCACCCACAAACTCAAACGGTCAATCACTCATGAACGGTATGACGAACTAGAAGAAAGTATCATCTTCGATAAGTCGGATACCCATGGTTTGGTCTTTCCTCACTATGACGCACTTGTCATTACTTTGCGCGTCTTAGATACTGATGTGAAACGTATTATGGTCGATGACAGGAGCAGTGCGTGCATCATCCACCCTCGAGTTCTCACCAAAATGAAGCTCGAGGATAGGATAGTGCCATACTGCATCACACCGACGAGTTTTAACAATGCAGTTGAGCGGATATCTGGAGAAATCACGCTGCTTGTCCTGGCTGGCGGCGTCACTTTGGAAACCATATTCCACATCATGGACCAGGATACAGCGTACAACGCCATCATAGGTCGACCTTGGATATACGCCATGAAAATCGTCCCCTCTAGCTTATATCAAGTCATCAAATTTCCCACCCCCTGGGAGTATTTAGTATCCGAGGAGAGCAATGCACTGCCCGAGAATGCTACTGCATCGCCCAAGACTGCACGTACACCCAACAACTGAAAGGCAAAGCCGAGGAGGCATAGCAATTAACGAAGTCAGGGTCAGATGGCGATGAAGGGAAAGACGTTATCAGAGACCCCGAAATCGTAGAAGCCACAAGGTCAACCATAGAGGACCTCGACCCCGTCCAACTCGATGATAACGACCACAGCAGGAAAGCTTTCATCGGCCACAAACTCCAAGAACCAGGTAAATTCCGTCAATTCTTAAAAAATAATGTAGACTTGTTTGCTTTTTCTCATGGAGACATGTCGTGCATCCCAAAGGAGATAGCAACACATAAATTGAATGTCGACCCATTCCACCCACCAGTGCGGCAAGTCAGAAGAAAATTCAATGCCGCGATAAATGAAGTTGTCCGCGAGGAGGTGGAAAAATTGCTTGAGAGCGGCTCTATCAGAGAGTCAAAATATCCCCAATGGGTCACCAACGTGGTCACAGTAAAAAAGAAAAACGAGAAATGGCGGATGTGCGTAGACTTCACAGATCTGACCAAAGCGTGCCCGAAAGACTCATTCCCACTGCCCCATATTGACCAAATCATCAATGCAACGGTCGGGCACGAGCTATCAAGTTTCCTAGACGCCTATTCGGGTTACAACCAGATGCTCATGGAGGAGGAAGATTAGGAAAAAACCACTTTCATCACCCACTAGGGGTCGTACTGTTACAGGGTTATGCCGTTCGGGTTGAAAAATGCAGGAGCCACATATCAGAGGCTGGTGACCAAAATGTTCAAAGATCAACTCGGCAAAACCATGGAAGTATATATAGACGACATGTTGGTCAAGTCGAAAAGAAAGGAAGACCACATCGACCACTTAAGGGAGGCCTTCGACATACTTAGGATGTACGGCATGAAACTGAACCCCGAGAAATGCGCCTTCGGTGTAACCTCGGGAAAGTTCCTCGCTTTCTTAGTATCGCAACGAGGCACCGAGGACAACCCCGACCAAATAAAGGCTATAGAGGGAATACCAGAGAACTTGACCAGCAAGAAGCAGGTGCAGAAGCTGATCGGTCGTATAGTTGCCCTGTCTAGATTCATCTCACGGTCCTCTGATAGGTGCCACAAATTTTTTGGCGCACTAAAAAAGGACAACGGACTCCAATAGAATTCCGAGTGCATCGACGCCTTAAAAGAACTGAAGGCGTACCTGTCTTCGTCCCCACTGCTTGCTAAGGCTGAGCCCGGAGAACGTCTCCTCATCTACCTGGCTGTGTTTGATGTGGCGGTAAGCGCAGCCCTTGTCCAAGAAAATAAAGGTACGCGGTCTCTAATCTATTATATTAGCAAAACTTTGGCCAACGCTGAAACGAGGTACCCCCACCTCGAGAAGCTAGCCCTAGCCTTGGTCGTAGCTTCAAGAAAGCTTGGGCCCTATTTCCAATGACACCCCATCTCAGTGGTCATGACCTTTCCTCTAAGGAGCATCTTGCACAAACCCAAGATGTCAGGTAGGTTGGCCAAATGGGCCACAGAACTAAGCGAGCACGATATAACCTATCAGCCGCGGACAACGATAAAGTCGCAAGTACTTGCCGATTTCGTCGCCGAGTTCAGTGAAAAAATAGTGCCCGATGTCAAAAGGGAAGCCACCAGTACCTCCCCCAAAATACACGACCTATGGATTCTATACGCCGATGGCGCCTCTAACATGTTAGGATCTAGACTAAGACTCGTACTCGAGGTCCCAACAGGCGAAATAAGTCGCCAGTCCATACGGTGCCCTGATATGACTAACAATGAGGCCGACTATAAGGTCGTGATTGCAGGATTAAGATTGGCACTCAAAGTACGGAGCACGACGAGTAGTCCTACGATGCGACTCGCAGCTCGTCGTCAATCAAATCACAGGGACTTTCCAAATCAAGGAACAAAGGCTACAGAAATACCAGACCGAAATCTGCAAATTGCTACCCGAGTTCGACAAATGCCGGCTCGATCAAATACCTCGAGCGTAGAACATAGAAGCGGACGGTCTCACCAAACTAGCGGCGGCCACTAAAAGCATAACCGGAGAAGGGAACGTGGTTACTCTCCTCCACTCGTCGATCGACCAAATCGAGGTATGCACTACTAACCTAACTTGGGACTGGCGCAATCGTATTGTCGCATACCTGCAGGACAGCGTGCTTCCAAACGCCAAAAAAGAAGCCAAAAAGCTCCGAATACAAGCAGTCAGGTATAGCGTCATCAATAACGACCTGTACAAAAGGACGTATGGTGGCCCTCAAGCAAAATGCTTGGGAACAAACCAGACACAGAGTGTCCTAGAAGAAGTCCACGAAGGTCACTGCGGGGCTCACACGGGCAACCGAGCCCTAGTCAGATGCCTCATACGAGCAGGATACTACTGGCCCATAATAAAAAAGGAAGCCGCTGACTTCGTGAAAAAATGCGAACAATGCCAAAGATACGCCCCCATGATCCATCAAGAAGGCGAGCACCTCCACCCCGTCACCTCGCCTTGTCCTTTCACCAAATAGGGAATGGACATCGTCGGCCCCCTCCCAGCAGGACGAGGTAATGTACGATTTCTTTAAGTTTTAACTAACTATTTTTCAAAGTGGGTAGAGGCAGGTGCATTCGCCCAAATACGCGAGCAAGAAGTGATCACATTCATATGGAGGAATATCATATGTCGCTTCGGCATCCCCAAAGAAATCAGTTGTGACAACGGGCCCTAATTCACTAGGAAAAAAATTGCCGAGTTCTTTGAAAAATGGCACATCAAAAGAATACTCTCCACGCCATATTATCCCACGGGCAATGGTCAGGCGGAGTACTCCAACAAGTCAGTATTGAACATCATGAAAAAGAAGCTCGAGAACGCCAAGGGGTTGTCGCCGGGAGTGCTATGGGCATACCGCACAACGCCGAAAACGAGCACAGGCGAAACACCATACTCCCTAGTCTATGGAACTGATGTAGTAATACCTATCGAGGTCGGAGAGCCAAGTCTGAGATATTCACGTCAGAGCAGGCCGACTAACGACGAAAGCAAGAGGCAAGACCTCGATGAGGTTGAAGAACGAAGACACACGGCTTACATAAGGATGGTCGCTCAGAAACAACAAGCAGAGCGATACTACAACAAAAAAGCCAAGGTCAGACTGCTCAAAGTAGGGGACTACGTACTCAAATCCAAAACACAGGCGAGCAAGAACCACGAGAAGGAAAGCAAGGGACTAATTGGGATGGCCAATACAAAATTACAGCGGCAGCAAGCAAGGGGTCGTTCCAACTAGAAACGATGGAAGGAAAATTACTGCCAAACAACTAGAACGTCGTTCACCTTAAATACTTTAACTTCTAAGGAAATGTGTTCTCCGAGCCGCACTCTTTTTCCCTCACCTGAGTTTTGTCCAAATTGGGTTTTCTCGGGAAGGTTTTTAATGGGGCGACGAGGAGGACATTTCGATTTAAATTACTTGGAAGGTGCAGACCAGTATGTTCATTGCCCGACCTTTCAGTACTTCTCCAGGTAGCCCAATGAAGGGACTAGATAGACTGGGACTGGAATGCCGGTCTGAAAAACGTGTAAAACTTCAATGTATATATGCAAGCAAAGCATACAAAACACACGATGTTCGCCTGTCTCTACCAAGTTAGACCAACGAATTAACTCACATTCGACCTTGTTCGAATTAATTAAAGTAATAATCAACATCGCTCGAATTAACTCACATTCGACCTCGTTCGAATTAATCAAAGTGATATTCGACCTCGCTCGAATTAACTCACATTTGACCTCGTTCGAATTAATTAAAGTGATATTCGACCTTGCTGGAATTATCTCACATTCGACCTCGTTCGAATTAATTAAAGTGATATTCGACCTCGCTCGAATTAATTACGAGTAACATTTGACCTCGTTCAGATTATCGCACATCGACCTCGTTCAAACTAGTAAAAAATCATTATTATATTCAACCACACTCAACCTTACTTGGGTTCGATCTACAAGTTAGCTTCATTTGAGTTAATCATGATGACATGGGACTTCACCCAGATTCAATCAAAGATATACTCGACCACGTTCGAGATAGCACATACCGACGCGATTCTTCTAAAGCAACCATTTGAAGAAAAACGTTCGAAGAAAAATAAAAGAACAGATAACACACAGCAAAGAGTTGTCATCATTCCATTCCAAAAAGGTATCTTATAATGGGCCAGAAAGGTGCCCACAAAAAAAAGAGAAAACACAAAAAAAAACTAAGTGCAAAGTACTACTCCACACCGTTTCCACCTTCATCGTCGTCGCCTTCACCGCCCGGCCCAACAACAGCTTCTCCACCGTCACCTTGAGGATATTCCTCCTCATACCAAGCATCCTGCTCAAGCTC